TATATATATATATATATATATATATATATATATATATATATATATATATATATATATATATATTATATATATATATATATATATTATATATATATATATATATATATATATATATATATATATATATATATATATATATATATTATATAAAGTTCATATGAAGTAACTCAAGTAACTTCTCTAATTTTATAAATAAATATGGGCACTATAGCGGAAGTTATATGACTGGCAGGAACTATAATATAACTTCAGAAACGAAAATTCAGCACGAAACGAATACTAAATATACTCAAAGGAGCGAACACAGCAAAATGAAACTATAGTATCTCATCAATGGCGAGTTTTAATGATCCTGAGCCACACCTCACCCCCCACCCTAACTGCAGAAAAACACCATTTTTTAAGTTAGATGGCGGGGATGATCATCCGCGGCCTCGGTAATACCGACATTTCTCAATTGAGAAATTTGCGGTAATACTGAGTTGAGAACCGTTGACACGCGGGTGTTTGCTCCGGGGCGCTTAATATAAGCGCCCTATATAATTGGTTTGCTGTGCAGTACGTACTGTGCACTGTGATGAAAGCTGAGTGCACGCTGGCGGGACATGATACAGTATAATCGGTATAATAGAAGACCTGTATAAAGTAAAGTCTATTATCTATAGATTATACATGCAGTTTCAGTCAAGAGAGGCTAAATAGATTTAGAACTTCATAACTATATGAAATCATAGTTGATGTTTTATTTCAATTAGTTTGGTATCAATGACATGTTATGCCACTTATCTTACACATGCACACTAGTAAACATGTAAGTATACTAAATATTTTTATTAGTTTGTTACTACTGAATTTCCATGCATTGCTACATTGTTAGTGTATATATACTTGGTTCATAAAACTACTTAAAACTGAGTAGTCTAAAACTACATTTCCCTCATATACCTTTCAGGGCGTAAAATTCCTGTTGTGCAGCCCTTTATTCCAAGAGGTGCATATAGTCCGTGTGTTGTGACCCGACATCGTTCACTTTCATAAAGCATGTCTTAGATCTGAAATATTTTGACGGGAACTAACACTTTCAAGCACGCTGAGTTCAAATCCGAAAAGTTCCCACTCCGTAGATGGACCCGCAGTTTTCTCACAAAATGCTATTTTATCTTCAATAATTTCACGACAAATTTTTCATTGTTCAACGACACGGATCGATGACGATACACGATTATGTCACTCACCTATTTCTATTAACCAGTCTTCCTTTTAACAAAAGACCGGTTTTGCTCGAATCACTTTGAGTTATGCAATCTTATGCATGTTGGACGTAAACAACATGTCTTGTCTACAACTTTGAGAAAGTACAGATAACGCTTTCTAAAATCCTCAGTTCTAGAGACATCTCTATAAAATCACAAGTACATTAATGCGAAGTCTTTTGGCTATGCCACTGGCCTGGAAAAATAACTCTTTTAACGCGATCAAGGTATTTAAACAAAAGTAGCCAACGTAACGGCAAAGACAACGCTAAAATGAAATATTGTCGATTGGTTGCTGGTAGAACACTTACGACAGGATCAATCTTAAATAACCTTAAACTATAAGAATAAATGTTCACATCAAAGACAAAGATCAGTCCCAAAATATAAAATATGCTCTGTAAACTTACGACGAAGTGGAGAAATGCGTGCATGAGCTTTTTATTTGGTGATTTCAATGTATAGGCTATATATGGAAGCCCTCTTTCCAATAATATTCGCTTATCGCACAGTATAACACCAATTGATGTAATAGTTCAAATGCAATGATAAGTTATCTCTTGAATTATACATCTCAGAAACTGTGTTGGAAATTTAAATGCTGATCCATTACATATAGATTACCGTTTTACATCGATGTATAAACCATTTTGATCGCATGTAAGCAATTATTTCTCAGCCCAGAGACATAGCCCAAAGACTTAACATTAACGTCCTTGTAATTTTATAGAGATATAGATCCAGAACTAATGATATTAGAAGGAATTATCTGTACCTTCTCAAAGTTGTAGACAAGATATGTTGTTTACGTCCAACACGCATAAGATTGCATAACTCAAAAGGATTTGAGCAAAACCGGTCTTTTGATAAAAGGAGAATGGTTAATAGAAATTGGTTCTTTTAAGTGACATAATCGTGTATCGTCATCGATCCGTGTCGTTGAACCACAGGCGGCCCAATCTCGCAAGGGTCAGTATAGACTTATAGTATAAATGTATATTATATTAATGTATATTATAGTAAAAATATGTCGTAAAATATAAATTTTAAAATGAAATTGACTTGCCTATTTGATAGTGTGTGTT